CTGGGCGGCGGGGCAGGGTCGGTTTTACACGCGTAACTGCTGTGCTCCTCCGAGGGATGCTCCTCCACTCGCGCCGGTGCCGGTGTCCCAGCCTTAGATGCCCAAAGTGCACGGAGGGCTATACCGTTTCTTTTCCTTTAGGCCTGGCATTCCGAATCGATGCCCTTACTCCTGTTAACGCGTGTAAAGGAATTTCTGCTCCTTAAATTATCCTCTTGATTTCCACGCTCTGGAGAATGAGATTCACAGCTGAATTCTCAGATGGCAAACCTACGTGGGGGTGGGGGTTAGGGAGTTGACGGCAATGCTGGAAATAACCAGGCGTGGATTTATTATAGAATATATAATATAGAAATAACAATTCTATATTTTATATTAGGTACAGTGGAACTGATGGATAGAAAAGGAGATTTATGTAAATACAAATGGAGTTATGAACCTTTGGGCCTAGCTGAGTGATCTTTATGTTGTCTGTTTATGTCTGTATGGGAATTAGAATATTTTGCATTAGTTACAGTTTTTCATTTAGTTTCTGTTTATTCAGCTTACATATATATGGGATTAGAATAAGTTTCTGAATTTGATCCCATTCAGAATTTAGTATGACAGATTGATTTATTACATAAAAGCAAGACAAACTAAATGAATAAGAGGTAACACAGGGATTTACTTTGTACTAGTTTTCTATATATAACATTGGTTTTGTGTCATAGGCTTGTGATCACCTGGATTCTCATTTGAGTCCCTAGTGAAATTCATGGAGTACCTTAAGTAATTAAATTTATCTGTGAAATCACTTTTTAAACAGAGGTGAAAGCAAACTTTTAAATTCTTCATAAATAGTGGAGTATGCTATATTTTAATAAAACGTACTTTCAGTGGAGCCAATGCTAGTGCTTGTTGCAAGGTTTTTTTTTTTATTAGTAAGTTGTACCTTGACTTTACATTCCCCATTTGTTTACCTAGGTTGGGTCCCAAGGCCTGTGAAATTATTAGTTTTCCTAACTTTTTTTTTTTTTTTTTATAGGCAGAGAGTATGTTATTCCATCCTTGGCCCACAGATTTATGGCAGAGATGGTGGATTTCTTCATTCTCTTCTTTATAAAAGCAACTATTGTCTTAAGCATTATGCACCTCAGTGGAATAAAGTAAGTTAAGACTATTTGCAGGAAGGTTTATTAAAACCTATCTAGAGATCTCATTTTGTTAAGTTCTTTTTATGCCTGCATGTGACTGTATGGATAATTGGTTTGCCAATGTCATGATTTCTTTATAGGAGCTTTGTGAGATTTTTTTCTTGTTAGTTTTAAGAAATAACTACAAAAAAGAGAATAACACTTAATAAATTCTGCCAGATCTGTGGGAATCTCACCTATCAAAAGTAGGTAAAAGGAGCCCAAAGCCTGGCTTGATTTTATTCAGCTATTTTCTTAGGCAGAACTCCTTTCCCTCTTACTATGCATAAAGAGGTTTTGGTAGATGAACTATTAATAATCAGCTAGATGGCATTTCCAAATGGGATTGCTTATACTATCAGGAAAGTCCCCAAGTGAACTGCAAAGTAAGCCATTTGTTTAAATAATCCCCCCTTCACATTAATAATCATAGTAATTTATTACTCACTAAGTACTCTCTACATGTTAGGCACTGAACTCACCTCTTTTTTTCTTCAGAGCCTTAGACTGTAAATGCCTGTCTCCTCCATGAATGTCCCCTCCTCTAGACAAAAAATATCTCCTTTATTGGGCTTGCTGGGTACTTTGGCTTCTGGGTTCCCAACTTTAGTCTTCTCGCAAAGCCCCTCTATGACAAAGCGAAGGGACCCCTTACTGAGCCTTTAGATCCCAAGGCCAGCATTCTCACCCCTTTAATGCTCTAAAAACTGCTCTGACCTCAGTGTCTTCTCACCTCCCCCTTCCCAAAGAACAACTTTCTTTTGAGCTCACCTCTTTATAGGGATTCTTTCTTAATCTTACCACCATATGAACCACAGAGCTTAATACCTCCATTTTATAGAGATTGAAATTTGGGTTTACAAGAAGTTAAGCCTAGAATTTACTCAGTTACAAAGGTAATAATAAGTGACAGAATCAAGATACAAACCCTTGTAGTCAGATTTCAGGGCTCTTTCCAGGAACCTGAGTGTTACTGTGGTTCCTTCTCTCTCTTCCTCTCCTACCCTCTACATATCCAAATACCAACTCCTTTCTGTTGAATCTCCTGAATAGCCTTCAACCCAGACCATTTTTTATCATCATTGCTTTTCCCTAGTCCAGTTACTGTCATGCCTTGCCTGGATTATGGCAGAAGTTTTCTAACTGGTATCTCAGTCTTGTCTCCTGTTTTATCTCAATCCAGTCTCTGATATAAAACCAAAGAGATCATAAATTGATTCTGCTCCTTTCCTGCCTTAAAATCCTTCCTTCAGTGGTTCCTCATTGCCATCAGGTAAAGTTTTTTTTCATATGGTTTAACTTTAAGTAAGATGCCCTTATTTCTTAATCATTGTTACCACTCATACTTAAGATTTGAGTCATATCAAACTGCTTATAGCTTCCATCACTCTTGCTTCAAGTTTTTCTCCCTTTGTTAGTTCCTCTCTCTGAAACTTCTCCCTTATTAGTCTGGCTAACTTCTCTTCATCCTTCAGATCTCAGCTTAAATGTCACTTCTGGGGAGCTTCACAAGTTAAATGTGCCTGGTATGTGTTTCCATAGTACACTATAATTTCCTATCGCAAGTCTTCATCTCACTTTATTACCACTTATTGTTCTACCCTCCCTGCTTGGTTAGAGTCCCATGAAAGCAGAGACCATGTTGAATTCACTCACCAGGGCTAGTACAGTGCCTGCTCATGATAGTGCTGCCTATTTGTTGAATAAGCTGTTTTGTGAAACACCTAAAGATTAGTTTAGAATTTGAAATAAAGTCTGTGACTAACACTAATGGGGGAAAAAATCAATGCAACTGCTCTGATAATTCTTTATAACCCAACACTATTATTTTGTGTAGGGATATCTCTAAGTTTGCTATGCATTATATAATAGAAGAAATAGATGAAGACACATCAATGGAAGACTTGCAGAAAATGATGGTTGTGGCTCTTATATACAGATTACTAGTTTGTTTCTATGAGGTAAGCTACTGACTTCAGCAAATATTAATATTTAACTGTCTAATTTTAGTTTATCAACCCAAAACCAGTGGAAATTTAGTTAATCGTGTATTTGTCAAATGTCTACTTTTTCAAATTTTCTTTAACATAAAACTTCTCAAGTTAAAAAAAAACACCTTTCTGCCCTGGGCACCAGTGTGGCTCAGTTGGTTGGAGCATCATCCCATGCACTGAAAGGTTGCCAGTGTGATTCTTGGTCAGGGCACATACCTAGGTTTCGATTCAGGTCCCTAGTATGGGTGCGTACGGGAGGCAACCATCTCTCTCTTTCTCTCTCTCTTTTTCTCTTTCTTCTCTCTCTCCCCTCCTCTCTCTCTCTAAAATCAGTAAAATATATCCTTGAGTGAGGATTAAAAAATAAATTTATTTTTAAAACTTTCTGAGTGGAGACATTTTATAATTTCGTTGTAATATATTTTAGTCTCATGGTCCAAAGATACATTTATAAATTGGTTGTGGAAATTGAGATGTATTTTTCCATAGAAACAACTGGATCATAGAGAAATATTATAGTAGACAACTGGTAGTATTGAAAATGATCTCTTACATCTTCAGTAATACGCATTAAAAGGTTAACCTTTGAGTATTCTGTGAAATTCCTCCAACTTGAAATTTTTAAAACATGAATAATATGGCAGGAAAATTTAGCCTTAAAATTGGTGTGGTTGAGCCCTAGCCAGGTACCTCAGTTGGTTAGAGGGTCCTCCCTGTATGCCAAGGTTGTGGGTTCAATCCCCAGATAGGGCATATACAGGAAACAACCAATGAATGCATGAGTAAGTGGAACAACCAATCAATGTTTCTCTCCCTCCCCTCTTCTTTCTCTAAAATCAGTTTGAAAAAAATTAAAATTGGTATGGCTGAGCTAGTAAATTATTTTTAAATTATCCTTCTTTCCTTAGATAATTTGCATTTGGGGAGCAGGCGGAGCTACCCCAGGGAAGTTCCTGCTGGGGCTTCGAGTTGTGACATGTGACACGTCAGTGCTTATTGCACCAAGTCGGGTTTTAGTGATTCCTTCCTCAAATGTTAGCATTACAACGTAAGTTCTTATCTTAATCTACTATATACTTATAAAAATGATAAATTTTTAAGTAATCAATACAGTTCATAAGTTATACCATTTAATATAGTATTTTTAAGATGTTGGTATTTTTTCTTCATGGCATCTACACTAATAAAAGAGAAACATGGTAATTGGCGTACGACCGCTACCCTTCCCATTGGCTAATCAGCATATCCTTATGCAAATTAACTGTCAGCCAAGATGGCAGCCGGCAGCCAGGCAGCTGGAAGCAAGCAGGGAGGCTCACTTGCTCCAGTGACTGCAGACGCCAACGTTCCCCGCCTAACTTGCCGGCCTCTGAGTTGCAACTCTAAGCAACTATGTACTATGTTGCAAATGTAGAAGCTAAACAAAAGCCCAGAAACCAGCTTTCAGCCTGCCGGGATCTCAGAGCTGAAGTTATACATTGTTTCGATTATAGAACGGCAAACAAACCAGATACCAGCTTTCAGCAGCGGAAGCCTCACAGCTAGAGCCAGAGCTAAAGCTGGCCCAGAATAAAATAAAAAAAA